GCGCAGTCCTATTTTTAGCACTATAAATTCCCATTTGAGTTTCGCCTACCACTGGTGCTATGCCTGATGATGCCCCGCATTCTTCCTCATTAATCCATCTGAAGGTGAAGAACAGATCACTCCTTTCCTAACAGTTTTCTTGTGGGTGGCATGCCAACGCAGCCACCTGAAACAAGGACTGAGCTCAATGCTGATACCTGTTTAAACTGGAGGGAGGAATTTTTACAGTTAATCTTTCTAAGCCAAATGAGAGGTGGCAAGCCCGGCTGGGTTGTGTCGCCTTTCATTTCTCAAAATGTAATTTCTACTACTCCTGTCCCCTTGACCAAACCCCACACCCACCCCTTCTTCCCTTTGTATTTCTACTGTCTCCTTCCCCCTTGATCAAACCCCCACACCTACCTTTCCTGCCCATTACATTTGATCTGATCACTACCTTTTGTATTACTTCCCTCTGACTCTGATGTTAATCCTGTAACATCTGGTGACTGAATGCCATTTACATACTGTCTATTGTATTGTCCATGTATAAAAGTACCTTGTTTCATTTGCTCTGGGTCCACTTACCGACTCAGACCTGTGCTGTGTATGTAAGTTCACCAGGATGCCGGCATTCTTTATTAAACTGACACCACCACAGCAAACCTGAACTGGACTGGAATGATTTTTCCTCAACAAACTGTTATTAGCGTATTATTGATATGCTAAAACTAGATAAATCCTTGAACTACAAAAATCCCTGCTGTTATTATGTCAGTCAGAAATAGACTGCCTCGTGTGGACATACGTTAATATTTGAATGACCTTTTTGTCAATGCAGGATTTTAAAGCAGGGGAGTTACACTGGATCATAGTTTGTCCACAGTAATCTTGGGCTGTAATGCATCTGGGAATGCTGCTGGTCTGGTTAAACTTGATTCTTTCAGTTAAAGGTCAAGTCCTCCTTTTTGGCTGTGAGATGAATTCAGAGAGGGCAAATAACACTAATCTGAAACATGTGTTGCATTATTTAAAAACAGATAAATGTTAAACTCTGTAGTATTAGGCTGCATGTTCCTCACTGCCACTGACATTTAACTCTAAAACATGAGTTTTTAGTATTTTTATCTTCAGTTTTATGCATAACACCTAGTTTGTGTTACATGCTTTATTATGCTCCTTATTATCTTTGTAGGGGATAGGGATAGCAGAATATAGAAAGGAAATGGGAGAGGAAGAAAGGGGGATAACATGTAGCAAAGGCAGGCTGGATCCGAACCAGGCAACTAGGGCGACTTTGCACATTCATGTCAGTAAATCTCAGATTTATTGTTTTGGTTTGTATATTTTTTTTTTTGGCTTTGTCAATAGGTGTTTTATGCTGTATGGTCTCTTGTTATGATGTTTAGACTGGAAATGGGAGCAGTCAGAACAAACCAATCATCCACAGTTACCTCTCCTCCTCATATTCTGCCAGTCGCCGCTGCACATCTTTGCACAGTTTATTCTTCTCATCACACTCGTCCTTCAACTCACGGATCTGAGTCTTGTAAAGGGTCTGGGAAGAGGACAGATTCGTATAATTTCATATCACAGGTCTGAGATGTAGACAGGGAACTAAAATCCCTCGATTTAGATTTGTTGCTTGTCTGACAATGTTATGTTATCTATGCTGAGTTTCAAATATTTCAGTCACTACGAGGCAAGGTGCACCAAAGAAGGAAAATTGTATGTTAGACTTACAGTGAAATACTGCTCTGCCTCCAGTTGGTCCTTCAGTTCCTTCAGCTGGCCACCCGCCTCCTGCTTCTCCCTGGAACACAACCAGCAATCTGTCAGCCATTACTCCTGGCCAACTAACCACAAGAGCCAAAGCACTTTCCTCAAATCAGATATGATGAATGAGATTCTTCACGACAACTTACTTAGTTGCCGACAGTATTACAACAATCTTAGCTGCGTTGTGTGTTAATGTTCAATATGCATTGTGCTCATTATGTTATTATGTGTGTTTGACCTGCGTAGCTCCTGGTTCTGTTTCTCCAGGGCCTGCTTCATGTCCAGCAGGTGGTTGAGCTCCTGTTTGAGCTGTTTCTCTGATGAGCGGAGCACCGACACCTGCTGGTTCTGCATCTTCAGATCACTCTGGCTCAGACTCCGCTTGTGGATCTCCTGCTCCAGATGCAAGCTTAGGTTCTTTACCTGCGCAGAAACGTGCACACACAGAAGCATTTTTTAGCAGAGATGCAAATCGACAGTTATAGGGAACATTTCAGGCTGCAGAACAAAGGGTCAGGGGATCAACTAATGAGTATTTTCATGGATTACGCTGACACATTGTTTAAAAAAAGGGAGAAATGCCCATTACAGAGTCCTAGAGCCTTGTCATCTTCTAATTGCTTGCTTTGTCTGAACATCTGTTAAAAGACTTGACTGGACTTAGTTTACAATATAAGGAAATAAGATACAGAAAAGCTAAAAATATTCATAATGGAGAACCAAAATCTAATGTTTTTTTTTGTGGGTATTTTTTTCAGGGTGAAGAGGCAGACAGCAAACAGGGAGAGAGACGGCATGTAACGAAGATTGCAGACGACAGTCCAAAGACCAAAACTTTAAAAAAAAAATAAGAATAACTTAGTTTGTAAATACATTTTCAATCGTTCGTTTAATGTATTAATCAACTGATTGTTCCAGTGTCGTGCAAAGCATCACCTCTTCAGACAGTTTCTCCTTTTGTGCCTGCAGCTCGTCCAGTTTGTGCTGTGCCTGCTTGTAGTCACAGTCCAGCATGGAGTGGGTCTTCTCTAGTTGCAGCAGCTCTCCCTCCACCTGCAGCTTCAAGCTGTGCTCCTCCTGCAAGGTGCGCTCCATCTCTGGACCAAACAAAACAACCAGGAAATCAGAAGGGTAATTTACGCTGCACTCAATTGTTCACAGTATTGATAAAACTATTTTCGCCTTTGCTTGCACCTCCTGGAGCCCCAGATAAATGTCTAGAATTATTCAAGTTAAAGTCAAATTACTGGACCAGAACTGTTTTAAGTGATTTTTCCTTTCTTCTTCAGCCATTCTGAAATTGACTTTCCTGATAATACTTTTGCTCTTTTGTGTGCATTATCTCACCATCTGTGTTAAGTCAGCTAAGTAAAATACAGTTTTTAATCGACTGACCATATTCTGATGCTTTCATCTATCCTGCAATCATCTTTCACACTTTTGTCCTCCCACTCACTCACCTTTTAAGGCCTCAGACTTTGCCACCTCGATGGACTGGTAAGTTTTGTTTTCATCTGCGAGCTTGGCTTTGGTGGCCTTATGTTCTGCCTCCTCCTGCTCCAGACTCTGCTGGAGCGACCTCAGCTTGAACGTCAAGTCAATCTCTTGGTTGCTCTTTTCCTATAAAATCAAAGCGGATATTAGCTTTCTAAACACTATAATTTCTTAGGAATGTTTTATATTGAATTGACTTATTGCACGGGAACAGCCAAAGGCAAATGTTCCGAAAGCTGGGATACAATGTCAACGTAATCTCAATTCACACTGGAAATTAGCAATTAGAAACAGACACCCAACCTTCTCGAGGTCATTGAGCTTCTCCTGCAGCTGCTTCTTTTCAGCCTGGACCTTGGAGAGAGATGACTTCACCTCTTTCACCTCTTCTTCCAGGCCAGAAATACGTCCTGAGGTTAAGTGATGGGAATAGGGAAATTATAGAAAGAATATATGACGACTTTTAGTGCAATGGGTGCAAAAAACTACAAAAACAAGCGCACCTGAATCATACATCCTAGGTGAGACATTACATATTTCTCCCGCACATGTTCGGCCTCCAATACACGAAAAACAACTCACTTCATGTTTATTTTCCCTTTAGCTAACTCCACCCACATGGAGAATTTTACTAGGAAAAAAAAACACAAGGCATCACAGCAAAACAGGCAACACCGTTGTTTCGATGCGTCCCCTCTGACCTCAGTGACTGGCCTCTCTGCGTGGACGGAGCACGTGTAAGTTTCCAAACAGCGTCTCACAAGAGGTGCTGGCTCTGGTTTCGGCTTTGGCTTTCATAGCCTCCTGCTTCACTCTCAGCCTTTTGAACAGATGTTTCCACCTATGATCTGATATTTCCCAAGGCCTGGTCCAAAAAACGATTCACATCTAATACCCTGTCCAGCCTCCAGCTCCAAGTTGTGTAATGCCATTTCTTCCTGCTACTGAGGAGATGTTTACTGCAGCAGCTTTGAATGAGTCCATGAAGATCGCAGTTTGATTACCTGCAGTTTGCAGTGAATTAACCTTTTTGACTGGTAGATTTTCTAACCTTATAACTTTTAATAGACGCATTAAAGTTG